TCAGATTTTGAATAAGCACTATAGAAATGTCTAATAACTATAAAAAAATGAGAGAGCAGCAAACTATATAGGAGCTTGTCATGTGTTATGGGACAAAAAGCCAATGTGATTTTGGCTGCACATTTGACAAATTTGCATCACAGACCCTCGAGATGATGATCCCTCTTATTGCAACACTAAAGGCACCACATCTAGATCAGTACATGCATGTTTGGGCACCTCTCAGTCAGAAAAATGTCAACATTTTGAGGGTAATTCTGAAAATAACAGCGAAAGAACATTTGGTTATTTATAAAAATGACATTTTATCTACGGTCTAAGTAGGCAATAAATTGCATAGAAAGTCTCATTTGACTGACATACAGTAAATTCCTCTGTAGTCTAGACATGAATTCAGCCAAGCTCTGTTTCAATATGAGTACAATACACGTCTTACAGAGTCTGAGGATTTGTATTAAATCAGATTGTTCCTGGCAAATATAGTAGCTTCGAATGGAATATGAGGGTGTTCAACAGGAGGCTAAAAACTTGATTTCTGACATTTCCACAGAAAGTGGAATAGAATTTTTTCACAAATAATTTTTTGCTAGATTGTTATTGACATGACTAAAAGCAGATCTTTACAACGTGATATGTGGTAACACAAAAAGACCACTTCAAACATTTTGCAGCAGATTTGTTGAGGCTGTTCTGGAGCTTTCAGAAGAACTAAGCTAAATCACTGCCTTTTCCCAGATACTTTATTTTAGATTACTATAGAATCTGCGGGCCTTCCTTTGCACAGTGATATTTTTCTCCACACCTTCGACTAACTGCTCATTTGGGAATTCTGATAGTGTTTACATTAGTCTTCCAAGGTTTTTTTTTTTATTCTGGCACAAATAATTGTGCAAATTCAAACTTATTTTATTCACGTTTGAAGTTCTTTCCATGAACATGTGTGGGAGGAAACTCAGTTACTCTAATCTTTGTGGAAAGTGAATACAAGATGTTTGAGCACAAATGAAGCTAATTCATTTTAAAATGCAAGTGGATATTTCCAGACCATATCTTTTGGTATTGCTGAACTCTATATTTTTTTGGAGAACACACTGAATATTTTTAGGAGACTTCTGATATCCTTTCAGTTTTTTTATTATGTTTATATTGAGCCAGTGTCAGATAAATGTCACGAAAACCCTGTTAATATTGTAGTGAAAGGATCTATTTGATTGATTGACCCAGTGGAACTGTGTATATACCTGCCTACAAATAACTGATTTCTCTTAGGCATAAGACATACAGTTCTGTTAGTAGAGATTAATTACATAACAATTAAGGCCCTACTTGAATTGCGGGATGATTGTCAAAAAATTGCAGCAGAGTTGAGGACAAACCATGGAAAAGTAATAACTGCAGTAATAAAGTCTATTACTTTCCTGTGATTTTCTGCTGTCTGCCACCCGGGGCTGAGAGCAGGGGCCTGGGGCTGAGAGCAGGAACAAAAGGCTCAGAGCAACGGTTCCCAATATCATCTGCCCATGGCTGAAAGCAAGGGCCTGGGGCTGACAGCACCCCTCCTGCCCCTGGGGGCTCCCACTGTCAGCCCTGCACACAGCAGGGCTCCCGCTGTCAAAATTGCAGTGGAAGCCTAATATTGTGGAATCTGCAATTTCCGCAATATGTCAAGCTAAATAGACCCTTAATAATAATATAATTCTGAGAGTCAGTAACTGACTGTCTTATCTGTGGTTCAATAAAGATTTCTCCATTTTCTGCTCCTTGTCCCCTTCTGTTCTGTTTGGTTCATCTGTATCTTAGCAGCACCCCAAGACCTTTTTGACATTGCTGGCTGCCTTTCTATTGGAGAACAATGTGAAAGTCAATGCTGAATGTTGATCTCCAAGTAGTCCAAAAGCCTAGTTTTTTATAAATATGTATCCTGTAGGAACATACACTTGTAGTTTTCTTTGGCTGCAACTAGAAATTGTGAGTGTTTAGGGCCTGTTTATGCACCCTTATTCACATGAGATTCTTACTCACAAGAGTAATTTAAGTGACGTCATGAGGCTACTCACATAAGGCTACCTATGTGAATAAGGATTTGAAGATTAAATTCTCCTCCACAACTGTCTTAGATCTGATGATAAAGTTTTGCTCATAACTGCAATTGCTATGTAAACCTCCCTTTAAACTTGTACCTTATAATACTCAACATGTTTAGATTGCCATAGAGAGGCTAGATTGCAATTATACATAATAAATTACCTTGGTTGGATTCCACTACATTTTTTGCCTTAAGGGAATTATTTGGTTTCCAGTTTTAATAAACATACATAACTAAATCTATTCAGTTCTTAAGACTGTTTGAGAATTAAAACAATTGCACTAAACAAATTGACTGCTGCGGATTTGGTGCCAACGTTAATCTTCATCTTTTACTTTCATTCATGGAGAAATAGCTTTTAGTAGAATGTTGATATGTTGTATTACTTGCGAACAATAACAGTGTCTGTCATATCTATGGTATAAATTGTTGACGCTTTGCTCACCCAAAAGAGAGAATGTGTAAGATGGCACACCTATGTCAGTCTGGCCCTCCATTTCCTTCAATTTTTAAAATTCTTTATTCACAATTTTCAAAAAAGATAAACAGAATGCAGTAACATGCAACTATCAGTATATCTATTTAGATAAAATAGTAGGTTTTTTTTTTTTACACACAAAGAAATTCTCCTTTAAATGATGCAACCACTTATGAGACTAGATAGGTTTGGTTAAGGAAAACCAAAATTCTAATGTGGTAATCCTCAGTGACTCACAAATGTGGTTAGATTAACTGAAACACATCTTATGTTCATAGAATCATAGAATATCAGGGTTGGAAGGGACCTCAGGAGGTCATCTAGTCCAACCCCCCCTGCTCAAAGCAGGACCAATCCCCAATTTTTGCCCCAGATCCCTAAATGGCCCCCTCAAGGATTGAACTCACAACCCTGGGTTTCGCAGGCCAATGCTCAAACCACTGAGCTATCCCTCCCCATGTTGAAAGATGTAGTGGAGGAAATTACTTTAATTGCCTATAGGTATCAGAATTTTTAGGCAGGCTTAATAAAATAAAATATTGTTTCCTGAATTTAAGATTTGAAATGGATAATATATACATATGGAATTCCCATAAGTATCTCCTTAGGGATCTGCATCTGTATTATTCATAGACGACTTTCCTGAGGCGAGGCTATAGTCGCTGAATATGCTGGAAAGCTAGTGGAGATTAACCTAACCTAACCCTACCCAGTTCAGTCTTGTACTGGAACAGCATTGACAAACTCAGGTCACCCCTAGTCTCAGACTCCTCTTCCCCAGCTCCTACCTTATCTCTCCCCTTCTTGCCAGTTCTCTTCTACAAGTGACCTATCACTGCTTTCCCCAACATCTCTGCACTTTGCCCACCGTTTTATGGGTGGCTGAGTGATGGAGGCAGCAGCAGAATGAGGCGGGGAGCTGTTCCTTTCCTTCCCTGCCTGGGCTCCTGCTGGTTACTAATCACCCCAGGATTTTGCTGCTTTTTTAGCCAGTGGGTGCCAATTTCTGATTGCCCCCTTGCAACTGATTTCCAGTTTGCGTTGACTGACTGGGCAGCACTGCTTTAGAACCCTGTGGTCTGGAAATTCAGTAATAGTTACTCCCCAAAGGATATTCACATGTACAAACTGAAACATGCTACTATGTAAGGTTATTCAAGTTCCTTACTTACTCAGATTTAAAGGCGCTCCACCTTATTTTCCAGAGGGGCGAGGAAGAGAGCTCACATCAGTGTATGAAAAGTAGCTTAAGGCCCTTTCTGAACAAAAACTGCCCTGAGTGGCACTACTGTGTGTGTGTGTGTGTGTTGGGGGGGAGGGGTGGAGTACACACCCCGTGTGTGTGTGTGTGTGTAGGGAGTACAGCAGCCCAGGAAGTGGGGTGGAGGGGGTTCAGCAGCAGTGAGGAAAGGGAAAACAAATACTGCTTCCTGAGGGTCTCCCTTCACACCCCCGAGAAAGGGAAAGCGAGAAGCTCAGGGGTGGCAACGGCATGGGAGGTGGAAGGGGAGGGATGAGAGTGTGACTGGGGTCCCCAGGGGCTGAGGTGTGGCACCACCTCACCAGGCACAGGGATTGATTGAGCCAGTGGTGGGGATCCCCTCCTACACCAGGCTCAGCTCTCACAGTCTAAGCATCAGGTTGGACACTGACTGGGTGCGTCAGGCATCTCTGACCCAATTTTGTCAGTGTTCTGAGTGGGGATTATACACCATAATGAACTAAAATAAGACAAGGGAACCAAAATAGTCTTACACCTAAAGAGAAGTGCTAAGGTATGGATTTACCACTTGGTTATTCAAATTTTACACTCATGTAATTGTTGATTTTAGTGGGCATAACACTGGAGTAATGCAGCCCCATAAGACACAATCTGAACTCCTTACTTAGGCAAAACTCCTATTGACTGTTTCTGGGATAAGGACTTCAAGGCCCTAAGTGTCAGAAGATATATGTACAGAATCTTATCAGCAAATCAATCACACTATTCCACTTAATAAAATTGGAATCTTCCCCATAATATTTTCCCCAAAATATCTTTTTTTGCCCTTATGCTAATTATGATGAGAAGAAGGGATAAATCCATTTTCAGAAGGGATACTGTAAGCTCTGCAAATGAATTCCTGTCTGCTATCAAGTTATCATCAGAGGTGGTTTATCTAGGAGAATGAAAGTTTAAATGGGAAATTAAGCACTCAGAGTGACTTTAGAAATTCTTTGCATCATTTTGCCCTTAATGTCACACTTCACCAGGCACAATTTGAAGTACAGTGAATCATACTTTAAACAAGCAGACTTTAATATAACGGCAGCAGATAATGTAGTAGAGGTGAATAATAAGCGTTAGCAGTCTTAACTTCTCCTTTACAGTATTCTCTCTTAGGTGCCTAATAGAATTGATGGACAATTTATAAAGTGCATATGCTGTTTTTATAGATTGGAACTTGGGATCCAGCAAGTGGCCTTAACATGACAGAGAATCAGAAAGGAAAACCAGCAAACATCACAGATTCCCTATCCAATCGCTCTTTAATTGTTACTACCATCTTGGTAAGTAATTATATTTGCATTCCTTTTCTGGAAATACGGATGTACATAAAAGTGGATAGAAAAAGTTGTACTAATTACATCGGTAATGAATAATATGTCATGTATTTTACAGTTATTTAGCAATTACTTTGTAATGAATGAGCTACAGTGTTAATTTAGTCATGGATTTTTATTCTGGTCTAAATTGATGTAAATTTACTCTCACTTTAGTGCTATCTCATTTAATAATTTAGGTTTGCTTATTATTGGCAAAAAAATTGTACAAAACAAATTAATCGAGACTTTTTTAATGTCATATTTAGAAAAAAAAAAAGTATTGATTCAAATCAACTAGAAAGATGATTAGGCCACTGACTCAAATTCAGAACACTGTCCCTACTTTTGTCAGTCGATAATGCCATTAGGTTTTATTGTCACAAACAGTAGCAAGTGTTTTCCGTCTTTTTAATCAGAATTATCTTGAAAATTTTAAGTAAGCCTTCTTTTTAATCATATGAAAGGATTTTTATTCTTAGCAATTATTCTTAAATTAAATGAACAATTTTCCTCAACATTATTTTCATCCTCATTACTAAATTAACACCAGTGAGCCAGGTATTTTAACTTTCTTTTATGTATATTTTTAATGATAATACAAATTAATATTCAGTAATATCTGTACTGTTATTTTAAAACAGTAATTTTAATTTTAACTCAAAAGAAGTTCTCCAAGGGTTTATGCTACTTGACTCCCACCATTCTGCATTTACAGGTATCAGAATGCAACATACTATTCCTTTTATTGGACTAACTTCGGTTGGTGAAAAAGACAAGCTTTTGAGCTTCACAGAGCTCTTCTTCAGTACTCACAGAGAATCACAGCTAAATGCAAAGTGGAATAGATTGTTTAGCATAAGTAGTTAGCAGAGATATGCCTGCTTCTGATGATGACCTGAGAGAGACTGGGGGTTGTTTGAAGACCAGAAGTGGGGGTTCATTGCTTTCACTTCTGGGCTTCAAACAACCCATCCAACCTCATCATCAGAAGCAAGCTCCCCAGAGACCGGCACATACCATCTCAAAACGTTACAAGATCCTGCCAGAAAAGATAACAATATATAATATATATGATGATATAAGACAAAAACATCATTTCATCTGAGGATGAACACTTTTCACAAAGCCGTCACTCTTATCTGATCTATCCGTCCTCATCCTTATAGGCAACCTGTACAACACTTTCAAAAGAGGAGCCTGAGAGCTTAAATTAATAATTCTGCTAGACACTAAACATCATGGACTGAACAGAGACATTGGGTTTATGGCTTATTAAACCAATCTGAAACCCACTAATCCCATTTTTTTCTTATGACTGCAGAGGTGTTAATGGTCCACTTCACCTGGAATGTGTGCTAACTACTTATGCTAAACAAATCTGTTCCACCTGGCTTTTAGCTGTGACACTGGGAGTATCTTTTCCAGACCAGAAGAAGAGCTTTGTGCAGCTTGAAAGCTTGTCTCTCTCACCAACAGAAGTTGGTCCAATAAGATATATTTGTTTATTACCTCACCTACATTGTCTCTCTAATATCTTGGGCCCGCCACGGCTGCAACTACATTGCATGCACACTATTCCTCTAATTCTGCTGTCCAATCAGAAGGGTGATGGTTCTGTGTCGTATCTGAACTGACATTCAGACAATGCTGGCAACTTAGGTTTATTTTAAAATTTCAAACTGGATTTTCATAGGTTAATAGATTTATAATGCCAAAAGGGGCCATTGTGCTTATCTAGTCTGACCGCTTTGCATAACACAGGCCATAGTAGTTTACCTAATAATTTTTGCGTCTTGCCCAAAAACCTGTTTGAACTACAGCATATGTGTTAGAAAAATATTGATTCTTGATGTAAAGACTCCAAGCGATGGGGCCTCAACCAACATCCCTTGGGAACCTGTTCCAATGGTTAAATATCCTCAGTTAAAAATATGCAATTTATTTCCAATTTGAATATAACTAACTTCAACCTCCAGCCATTAGATATTTTTAGAACTTTGGCTGCTATATTTAAAAGAACCCTGCAATATCATCATCCTCCTGTATAGGTAATTACAGACCATGATCACATCATCTCTTATGTTTCTTCTCCATAAGCTTAAGACTGAACTCTTTAGTCTCTCATTGTAAGATGTGTTTTACAGAATCATTCTTTCACTTCTTCCCTAAGCCCTCTTCAAGTTTTCAACATCCTTTTTAAAAAACGTGCACTCCAGAAATGAATGCTGCATTCCGGTAATGGTCTCACTAATGCCATATACTAAGGTAATAATGCTCTCCTCCCTGCCCACCCCCAATGCTTCGTTTACATCCAGGTATCATCTTAGATGTTTTTGCCACTATGTCACACTAGGAGCTCATGTTCAACTGGTATCAATAATGTTTCCAAAATCCTTTCTAAAGTTGCTGTTTTCCAGAAAATATAATACCCAGTCCAATTAGTATGGCCAACATTCTTTATTCTTAGATGTATGTTCGTGCATACATCTTATGTTAAAAGTCCTGTTGTTTGAGTGCATCCATTTTACCAAGCAATCCAGATTGCTCTGTATCAGTGACCTGGCCTCCTCATTATTTCCTACCCAACCAATCTTTGAATCATCTGCCAAATTCCTCAGTAATGATTTTATATTTTCTTCCATATCAGTGATAACAATATTGATCCATGAACCAAACCCTGCAGGACCCCACTAGAAACATCCCCTCTAACTGGCGATTCTCCGTTAACAATTATATTTTGAGATCTATGGGTTAGCAAGATTTTAATCAATTTAGCATATATGTCATATTAATTTAGTAGAATGGTAATTATTTTAGTCAGAATGCTGGCTTTGCAAAAAGGTAAAATCCATTAGTGCAACTAGTGGCTTTGCCTGTATGTGCCAGAGGTGTGCATTAGAATGGCCACATAAGTTTTTGTAACTGGGGCAAATTCCCGGTGTAGACAAGAGCTACATTTTCTTCAGGGTAATTTTGGTTGCTGGTTGTGTAAACATCTGTCTTCATCCCACACTTCCAGATGGAATGCATAATTAAGAAAAGAAATTGGAGGATATTCAAATGGGTGTTATTAGCTGCTCATTTGTAGTGCAGTAATTCCCTTTTTACACCTTAATTACTGTTTGCTGAAGGCTTGGGTAACTGTAATAATTCTTGTTAACTGAAAACAAAAGAAACGGGGAGGGAGGTGGTCAAAATAATTGAAGGTCCAAAAGCCTCTTCTGCGCCTTTTGATATATAAGTAGGCTTGGAAAAATTATATTTTTATCAGTAAAAGTTGGTAAATGTCAACTTCACCGTACACACACAAACTGACAAAAAAGATTTCCATTGATAATTTAAATTTACAGGTAGGCAAAGTAAGAAAAATGCTGCTTTTATAATGATTATGGTTTGGTTGAGGGATATTTACTTTGTCTATTTTGACATGTGATGTTGACATTTTGTGTTTTAGTGTTTTGCAAAGCTTTAACATTTTGAATGTCAATGTCTATTGTCATTAAATAATTATTGTCTGTCACTCTCCCATAGTTTCCTACAAATCTGAAGACTTAAATTGATAAAAATCAGAATTTTGTGCAACAGTGAAAATTTAAACAAATACAAATAAAAACTGCTTAAAAATTAACCTCAATATTATCCATCAAAATTATAACAAATAAAAATTGAATTCTGCCAAGTGTATAAATGTGGTGGTTTGTTTTGAATGCGCAAAGAGTAGGTGTGGTGCTTTGCATTGTGGCATCATTTCTTTGTGTTTAATCAGTGTATTTGTATGTAAGACACATATTATTGTCTCTATTCTCCGGACAGTCAACAATGTGGGCAAGAGATTTTTTTTTCTCTTTTTATTTCACCGTATTATACTAGTGAAGTTTCAGCTATACAGCCCACTGTAAAAGACTGCATGTATGGAACAAAGCTGTCAAAAATAATGGAAAAGTTAAAATCACAGAGGAGAGTATTAGCCAGTTATAGCTTTAAGGATCCCTCCAAAAGTGTCTGTAGCAGGTTCTAGAATAGCAACCAACCTAATTTAGAGGCCCATGTTTGTTGTGCTGCTACTCCTGTTAACGTTTCTGCTTTGTCCAGTGTCACTAAGGTACCGTCAAGGAAGAATATAGCCTCTGAAGGGCAGCGTGGTATCAGTGCTGGCTGAAAACTAGGGAAAACAAAGATAGTGTGGAAAACTACACAGCTGGCATGCCAGATGTATGCCATTGCTGATCCATCTGTAACACATGGTATATGCCAGCCACTTTGCTAGATACTACATCGATAGGCAGGGAATCTGAGAGAGAGAATCTCCAGTGCAACTATAGAAATGCAAAGATATAGCATGGAAAACCATCATTTTCGCTTTATTTCTACACTTTTGTTTCCTTTCTCGCATTTTAAAATATTGTTAGAAAAGACTACTTGGCTCAATTACCCTGACAGCATGGATTTTGCAGCAGGGCTAATATCTCATTTAAATCAGCCCCATTACTGCACTGTGTATGTATTATGTGCATGGATGATACCTTGGTTATTTTCCTTTGCTGTCTGGCCTGCTTGCCAAGAGCTGTTATTTTTAAGAACCTTATTTCTGCTTGTTTCACTGCTTTCTAAAATTCCAAACAGTGCTCTGTTTTTCTTTTATATAGTAAAGGTGGTTGCAGGTAGTTTAAAGATTGTGACTATGACCTGCTTCCTACCTTGTCTTTTGTAAATGGCTATATATGCCCAGAGAAAAAATAAACAAACTGGCATTTCATAGATTCTAAGGCAAGAAGTGGCCACTGCATAGCACAGGCCATAGGAAGCAAAGGCTACCAGGGACCTTCAGGTATATCAGCACTGCAGGTGGGAGTAAGTCTCCAAGCCCATGTAGAGAAACTCATAGCTCGAGCTATCACGCTAAGAATAGCAGTGTGGACATTGCAGGGTAGACATAACCCACTGTCCAGTGTAAGCCCAGGGTT